GACGAAAGAGGGGGAGGCCTTCAAGGAGATGGATTGATACGGTGACTGCAATGATGGGCTCAAGTATAGCAGGGATTGTGGGGCTGGCACGGGATTGGGCAGTGTTTTGTTCTGCTGTGCATGGGGTTGCTATGAGTCGGAAACGACTCGACGACACTTAACAACATAACAACAACTAGAGTGTGAGAGCAGAATTAGGCAATTTCACTCCAAATGCAGTTGGAAACCCTTAACATGTCAAAGAGAATCACTAGGTACACGTTTGGTCAACGCATTCTTTTACCTTCTCCACAAAACCAGGTGACTACCTTTCTTGCTACCTTCTCAAACCATGGGGCTTAAGTCCCCAGGAATAGGCATATCTATAAGAGGAATTCACTTGGATGGGCTCTTGTACTAGGGGTGTGCATGAGTCTGGGGCTTTGTCTATATGCTCAGAGACCACTTCCACGCCAGCTCCTGCCCCTCAGATCCAGGGCATCCTCCGATTTTTAGCATAGACTGCCAGACCCCATGTGGTCATAACAGAACCTTGGGCAGTAGTTCCAATCCTGGAAGCTTCAGGGCCTGGCAAACCTCAGCAAATGACAGCCACACGTAGAAACAGAAACAACTGGGGCAGATGTAACAGAAACAACTGGGCAGACAATCGAAATCAAGATCTTTTTAGAGTGGCATGAGTCCACGGGGGCAGCAAGGGCAGGAACTAAGGCCAGGATTCCAAGAGTTTGAGGTTATGGGCAGAAGACCAGTCAGGGTAGCTACCCTGAGTTGCGAATGACATGGGGGCAGAGTTAGGGCTGTGAGCAGTGTGGTCACAAGCTTAGGCACTAAGCTTGGCTCTATTGCTCTACTAATACCATGAGTTAACCTCTTAACCTCACACTTAAAGTGTGACATTACAACATCCAATTAAGAGGGCTTGGTGAGGATTAAATGAGACATCCTTGTCAAGCACTTAGCGCAAGGTCTCAAAATAAAAACCAGTTGCCATGGACTCACTTCTGACTCGTGGCAACTACCCACCTCCCCACCCCGGCAATGTGTATCAGAGTAGAATTGTGGTCCATTAGGTTTTTGATGTCTGATCTCTTTGGAAGTAAATTGCCAGATCTTTCTTCTGAAGTGTCTGGGGATGTGTTCATACTTCTAACCTTTCGTTGGCTGTATGAACTATATGTACCACCCAGGGACTCCACACGAGGAATTATTGCTAGTTACCACGAGTTGATTCCGACTCACGATGACCTCACATGTCACAGTAAAACTGTGCTCTGTAGGGTTTCTGGGTACATTCAAATGGCCAACTTTTTGGCCAGTAGTTACCCACTTAACCATCTGCACCACCTAGGGACCCCTCTCGAACTCACTGCCCTTGAGTTGGACCCAACTCATAGTGACTCCTCCTTGGGTTTCCGAGGCAGTATCACTACGGAAGTAGATTGCCCATCCTTCCTTCTGAGGAGTGGCTGGTGGGTTTGAACCACCATCCTTCCGGTTAGCAGTCAAATGCCTTAGGCACTATGCGTCCAGAGTAAATGTTCCCTAACAATAGTTATGGTTGTTGTTGTTGTTGTTATGTTCTGTCAAGTCGGAAAAGCAAGGAAAACTAGTTGTGTTGGGAATTACTGCTTTAGCCTAGGGGCAGATCAGGCTGGAGAAAGCTGAAGGGGCTACAGCTGAAGGGTAAGAGTGGAAAGTATTGGAAACTTCTCTCCTATCTCTTTTCCCAGAAATTCATTCTACAGCACACGAGCCCCTTCCATACATGGATAGGACTCACCAACAGTGATGGCTCCTGGAAGTGGGTGGATGGTACTGACTATGAGAATGGCTACACGTAAGTGACCACCGTCCCCTACCCCCCGCCGTGGCATCTGCTATTGGTCTGACCTAGGGACAGCCACCTGGACTTTTGCCCCACTCTGTTCCCACCCCATCCCTTGGGGATCACCCCCCCAAATCTCTTGTCTTAGTTATCTAGTGTTGCTACAACAGAAATAACACAAGTAGTTGGTTTTATAACAAACAAAAATTTGGGTTTTTTTCTCAGTTTAGGAGGTGGTTGTTGTGTGCTGTTGAGTCGGACCTGACTCACAGCGACCCCTCCTTGGGTTTCCGAGACAGTATCACTACAAAAATAGATTGCCCAACCTTCCTTCTGAGGTATCACTACAGAAGTAGACTGCCCAACCTTCCTTCTGAGGATTGGCTGGTGGGTTTGAACCACCAGCCTTGGGGTTAGCAGTCAAGTGCCTTAGGCACTATGCTACCAGAGCTCCTGTTTAGGAGGCTTGTTGTTGTTGTGTGCCGTCAAGTCAGCCCTGACTTATAGCGACCCCTCCTTGGGTTTCCGAGGCAGTATCACTATGGAAGTAGGATTGCCCAACCTTCCTTCCAAGGAGAGGCTGGTGGGTTTGAACCACCAGCCTTCTGGTGAGCAGGCAAGTGTCTTAGCCACTATGCTACCAGAGCTCCTAGAAGAAGTCCAAATTCAGGGCAGTAGATTTTGGAAGGAAGGTTGGGCAATCTACTTCGTAGTGATACTGCCTCAGAAACCCAAGGAGGGCTTGCTATGAGTCAGTCGGGTGTGCTCGAAGGCCCATAACAACAACAATAGGTTTAGAGGAAGTCTTTCTCTGTAGGCTATGGAGGAAGGTCCTTGTCTCTTCAGCTTCTGCTTATTGGTACCTTAGAGATCTTGACATGTCTTGGCAACTGTTTTGCCCAACACTTCTCTGTTTGCTTGTTTTAATCTCTTTTATATCTCAAAACAACCTTAAGCCCTTTAAGATCTTGCTCAGAAGAGATTGACTCAAAATACACCCTACGCTAATCTTATCTGATTAACATAAGAAAGAGAACTCATTCCCAAATGGGATTATAACCACAAGCATCCAAAACCCAAATTCACCCCCATGCCATTGAGTCAGTTCTGTCTCATAGAGACACCCACTGGGTTTCTGAAGTGGTAAATCTTTATGGAAATAGATCACCCCATCTTCCCTCCATGGGGCACCTGCTGGGTTTGAACTGTCAATCTTCTGGTTAGCAGTGAAATACTTTATACAGTATGCCACCAGAGCTCCTTACCACAAGCATAGAGCATAAGATTTATAACACCTATTTTTTGAGGGACATAATTCAATCTATAACAACTCTGCTACCCAGACTCCAAACTTCTAAGCCTGTAGCTCTTGCTCCCTGGGCCACTCCTATGCTGTGCTTTTCTGGAGTAGGGGTTAGAGTGGGGACTGTGGTTAGTCAGGGGTGAGTGGGGGATCAGACTAGAGCTTGCTCCATCCTGCCTTCGTAGGAACTGGGCTTTCACTCAACCAGACGACTGGAAGGGGCATGAGATGGGAACAAGTGAAGACTGTGTTGCAATCCAGTGGGATGGCCGCTGGAATGACAATTTCTGCCAGCAATTGCACCGTTGGGTGTGTGAGACCAAATGGAACCGGACTGCTGGGAGTCTCTGACCTTAGATCTTGAACCTGCACCACCCACCTTACCCTACACCTCCCATCCCCTTTCTCTACTGGGAGTTTTGAAGAAAAGAAGACAAATAGAGTTGGGGTAATGGGGAGGTGCTGAGGGAGTATGGGGGGCTGTGGTTAAGGGCCTCAGACCTGGGGAGGCTGAAACCCCTGTCTCCTTCCACAATTCATTGTAACTGTGAAAATTTTCAGCCTCTGCAATGGAGTAGAAAAAGTAGAACTAAATCTTGAAACTCTGCGTGGCCTGGTTATTTGGAACTGGGAAACATAGCTGCGGAAAACTGGGGAGGAAAGGGTCTGGAAAGACAAGGTTTGTATCCAGAGAGTAAGTGCCCTTGACATGGGCCCAGGTGGGATGGAGTGGGGTGGGCAGGGGCTGTAGGGTCCATGAGGCCTGAGGATTCCTGAGGGAAGCCATTGTCCTGCAGTGGGGTCTCCTCAAGAAAAGTTGGCAGGAAGCACCCTGGCTCCATTTCTAGCCTGGGAACTGCAGCAGGGTTGGCAAAGGCCCCCTTGGCAAGGCCAGTGAGAAATGTTTGCTAAAAGGAGGAAGACTGGTAAGACAGACACTTTTCCCTGTTGTTGGCCTCCTTTTGACTCAAAACAGATGTAGAAATGTCTTCGGCATAGGATGTCTCCAACGATTTCCACATTGGGTAAACTCCATGTTCCAAGATCATTCTGAAATCAGCCTTAAAAAAGGATCTTTAAGTAATTCGAATTCTTATTTTTAAAAATTTTATTGTGATTTGGGTGAGAGTTTACAGAGCAAATTCATTTTCCATACAACAGTTTATACACATTTTGTCTCATGACATTGACTGCAATTCCCCACAATGTGACAGCTCTCTTCCTACTTCCTTACTTCCTATTAGTAACCTCTTCCCTGTGTCCTTCCCTCCCATGCACTCCTACCCATCCCCTCCGGCTATCTCCCAGTGCAAACACTGCCCTTCTGTTCTCCCATGATTGATCGCTCCAAGTAGATCTATGTGATGTAGATGTTCACCCCATATACCTGTCTATTGTTTGGCTGGAAGCCACAGGAGTGAGTTCAGTCCCAGACCTGAAGGGTAACTAGGGGCCATAGTCTTAGGGGTCTCACTAGGCTCTATTAGACTAGCAATATTTTTTTAATGATTTTACATTTTTTTCCACATTGTTCTCCCATTCTATGCGGGATCTCCTGCATCAATCCTCCTCTGACAGTGGTAGCTGGGCACCATCTAGTTCTTCTGGTCTCATGGTCATATAGGTTGAGGATCACATGGTTTACTAGTTTCTTGGACTAATTGTTTCCATGTGTCTTTGGTTTTCTTCATTCTTCCTTGCTCTGGACAGAATTTATTATTATTATTATAAAAATAATATATTTGTTGTTGTTAGTTGCTGTCAAGTGGACTTCCACTCATGGTGACCTTATGTACAACAGAATGAAACTATGCCCAGTCCTGTGTCATCTTCATTAGTAAAAGAAATTTCAAATAATACCACACACATCTACAAGATGAAAGTCCATCTTTCACTGCTACCTCTTCTCACCAGACTTCATTTCATGGGTATCCTGTCAGAACTTTTCTCATGCACATGTGTATGTACAGGAGCTCTGGTAGTGTAGTGCCTAAGGCACTTGACTGCTAACCAGAAGGCTGGTTGTTCAAACTCACCAGCCACTCCTCAGAATGAAGGTTGGGCAATCTACTTCCGTAGTGATACCACTTCGGAAACCCAAGGAGGGGTTGCTATGAGTTGGATCTGAGTTGGTGGCACATAACAACAACAACATGCATACATACATCATTTGGAACTTACATTGTTTTCTTCTGCTTTCATAATTTATAAAAACTTTTGATCATGGGAGGAAATTGCTAGGGCTGTATAAGGGACCTGTGCCCACCAGGGGCCCTTGAGTTCAGCTCCATTAAACCAATTGCCATCCAGTTGACTCAGACTCATGGCTGCTCTAACTGAGGGTCCTCTCATGTGTGTCAGAGTAGAACTGTGCCTCACAGGGTTTTCAGTGGCTGAGTTTTCAGTAGACCACCGGGGCTTTCTTCAGAAGTGCCTCTGGATGAAGGTGAACCTTTCACTTTTTAGTTAGCAGCCAAGCACTTGACTGTTTGCAAAACCCAGGGACTCCCAGGCTCTATTAGCTTCAAGGTGAGTCCAGTCTGGCCCTCTCCCCCCCTCCCCCACCCTGCCTCTAAATCTTCCTTCTCAGCTCCAACCAGGAGAGGTTGTTCTCTAGGCCTGTGACAGAGAGGTTATCTGGGAGTTCCCTGTTGTTGTTGTTGTTATGTGCCGTCGAGTCGGCCCGACTCTTAGCGACCCCTCCTTGGGTTTCCGAGGCAGTTATCACTACGGAAGTAGGATTGCCCAACCTTCCTTCCGAGGAGTGGCTGGTGGATTTGAACTGCCAGCCGTCTGGTTAGCAG